AGCCGCCAATCATCCACAGAGGATCGGAGCTCTGCCTTAACCCCGCGTGCGCCGGCCTCAGTGTGGAGTCCTTACCTCGGAGTCATGGGGGGGAGGGGGGTGCCGGGGGGGTGCCTCATGTATGTGAACATTCCGTGTGATTGTAGAGTCACGTGTGTGAGGTGTCGGCTGATGTGTAACAGACCGAACTCTATATATGTACCGAGACCGCCAAAGCCTCCTCCCGGGATCCCAACTCATGGTCCCTCCTAATCCTTCCCCAAACTCCGTCCTGATCCCTCATCCTGATCCTTCCCCAAACTCAGCCCTGATCCCTCATCCTGATCCTTCCCCAAACTCAGCCCTGATCCCTCATCCTGATCCTTCCCCAAACTCAGTCCTGATCCCTCATCCTGATCCTTCCCCAAACTCAGTCCTGATCCTTTCCCCCAAATCCTGTCCTTGCCCATCCTCCAAATCCTTCCCCAAATCTCGTGCTCACCCTTCCTCCAACTTCTTCCCCTAACCCCATTATGACTCCCTTCCTCTGCCTCCTTTTTTCTTCCTCCAGCCCTGTCCTCGCTCCTTTCCCAATCCCCACTCTTGCCCTTGCTCCGCCTCCTTTCCCTCCGTGAATTTTGGGTGTGTGCTTGGTGAATGTTGGTATTCGGGGTTTCTCATGTGATGTTCCTCACCCGTTCTCCTCTCTCCTTGCAGTTGCTGTGTGGAGCCGTATTGTCCGCGTCCCCCCGGGTCCCCTCCTGCGGGTGGAAGGTACCGATATTGCCATCTCCTGTAACGTCAGTGACTATGAGGGCCCCAGAGACCAGAACTTTGAATGGACGTTTTCCCCGGGTTCGGGCCCCGCGGTGGGGGTCCTCAGTACCTGGGATGAAACCTTCACAGACCCCAAGCTTTCAGACCGGGTGAGCGCAGGCGGCATCCAGCTCCAGAGAACGGGGAATAGTGAGGTCCTCCTCCGGATACGACAACTGAAGACCTCCGATGAGGGTAACTACACCTGCTCCACTCCCAGCACCGACGCCACCGTCAGTGGGAACTATGAGGACCACGTGCAGCTGAAAGGTAACAAAGGGCCCAAAATGTCCCCTGTGTTGTGTCTGTACTTATCTAAATGATCTGCAATGTACTCTTCCTGGACAGCCTATGAGAAACGGGCTCCTCCCGCAAGGACAGGAAATGCATTGCCAGGTCAGATGTAAGGAGGAGGTCCATCCGACGCACTCTTCAGTTTTGATTCCTCAGCCCTGAGGAGATGCTGTGCCTGGGACCTGGTTGGTGGAGGTTCTCTTACTGGCTTTCCTATCACCCATACCTCTACCTACCTCACTTCCTGTGGTGCTGTTGGTGGCCTTCCCTTGCCGGCTTGCCCTCCAGAACAACCCTCTTTGGTTCCCATCCTTCTTTGTTGCCCAGTGAAGGACATTATTGATGAGACTCACCCGTGATGGAGACTTCCATGTGGCCTGATGATGCTGTGGCTTTCTTCCAGTGTGTGCTTTTGCTGTTCCAGGGGAGGGGAGATCAATGGGGACACATGGGGGGGGGGAGGGGCAAAAGGCCCATCTGAATGCATCTTGGTGGGTCTCTGTGTCCCCAGTGACACCCCCAGTACTCATGGTAGATGTGGCTGCTTCCATTTGACCAGATGATGCTGGGCATCACTTTTGGGCAAGAAAATTCCACTTCTGGCTACCAGAAGCTTCCAGCTCCAAGCCTCGTTCTCGGCCCAGGAGAAAGGTGAAGGGCCTGCTGGTGCCTTTCTTGGGGGCCACTCATGTGGGGGGGGGTGGGCTTTCTATCTCGGTAGAAAACAGACAGGAAGTGAGGACAGCAGTGTAGACCAGCTAGAGGTTCTCCCCCTTTTGGCTGGAGTTGCCTTTGAGAGTCCGCGCCGCCTTCTGCACACCTCCAATTTACAGCCCCAAGACCTCTGAGGATGGAGAACAGAAGCCCGGCTCTACCTGAACGCCATTCCCTTGGAATCCTGCAGTCCATGTGATCCGTGCCTTGTGTTTGGTCATGTGACCTGCACGGGTGCTTTCCCTAAAAGAAAATTGTACAAATGTTTTCAGATAATCTAACCCCCTGTGAGTTGCGTGCGTAACCCCTTCATGGCACTCGCCTTGTGCAATGACAATGAAGGTGTTAAAGAGAACCCGTCAGTATCTACAAGTGTGACTACATTCCTGACCCGTCGCCATATGCAGCAACAGAATGGTTTCTTGGTGCTGAACTCCAGGATCTTGGCCATTATGGACCCTTGGCCCCCTTCTCCCATCCCAAAAATATGCTTTTAAATGCATAGTTAATTTTTTATGTTTAGGGTGTAACCTACAGCGTGGTCATGTACACCATCCCCCCAATACCTGAATAGTGGGGTGCTTTTTATTGGAGGTGGTTGTTTGAAGACAACATGGCTGTGCATGGCCCCCACAGATTATGGGAATCCCTCAGTGCCAGATACTACAGGTCCCATCTACTACAGTGGCAGAGGGGATCACAGAGTGGCCTGGCAGCAGAGCCATGATGGCACCACCATTGTAGTCCATTCACAGCTTCCTCCAGCCGCATAACAGAAGGCTCAGGACCTCCATACAGACCTGGGCCTGGGGCTACACCATGCAGGAGCCTGACCCTTTCTCCAACTCCTTCCCAAGTCATATCCTAACCCTTTCTCCAATCCCTTCCCCAAATCTTTTCCTGACCCTTTCTCCAACTCCTCCTTCCCCCAGTCCTTTCCTGACCCTTCCCCAAACCCTACCCTGACCCTTCCTCCAACTCCTTCTCAAATCTCGTCCTGACCCTTCCTCCAACTCATTCTATAAACCCCATCCTAACCCTTTCTCCAATCCCTTCCCCAAATCCTGACCATTCCCCACACCTTTACCCTGACCCTTCCTCCAACTCCTTCCCCCAATCCTTTCCTTACCCTTCCCCCAAACCCTACCGTGACCCCTTCCTCCAACTCCTTCCCCTAATCCTTTCCTGACCCTTCCCCAAACCCTACCGCGACCCCTTCCTCCAACTCCTTCCCCCAATCCTTTCCTTACCCTTCCCCAAACCCTACCGTGACCCTTCCTCCAACTCCTTCCCCAAATCCCATCCTGCCCCTTCCCCAAACCCTACCCTGACCCTTCCTCCAACTCCTTCCCCCAATCCTTTCCTGACCCTTCCTCCAACTCCTTCCCCCAATCCTTTCCTGACCCTTCCTCCAACTCCTTCCCCCAATCCTTTCCTGACCCTTCCCCAAACTCTTCCCTGACCCTTCCTCCAGTCCTTTCCTGACCTTTCCCAAAACCCTTCCTCCAACTCCTTCCCCCAATCCTTTCCTTACCCTTCCCCAAACCCTACCGTGACCCTTCCTCCAACTCCTTCCCCAAATCGCATCCTGACCCTTCCCCAAACCCTACCCTGACCCTTCCTCCAACTCCTTCCCCCAATCCTTTCCTGACCCTTCCTCCAACTCCTTCCCCCAATCCTTTCCTGACCCTTCCACTAACTCTTCCCTGACCCTTCCTCCAGTCCTTTCCTGACCTTTCCCAAAACCCTTCCTCCAACTCCTTCCCCCAATCCTTTCCTTACCCTTCCCCAAACCCTACCGTGACCCTTCCTCCAACTCCTTCCCCAAATCGCATCCTGACCCTTCCCCAAACCCTACCCTGACCCTTCCTCCAACTCCTTCCCCCAATCCTTTCCTGACCCTTCCTCCAACTCCTTCCCCCAATCCTTTCCTGACCCTTCCTCCAACTCCTTCCCCCAATCCTTTCCTGACCCTTCCCCAAACTCTTCCCTGACCCTTCCTCCAGTCCTTTCCTGACCTTTCCCAAAACCCTTCCTCCAACTCCTTCCCCCAATCCTTTCCTTACCCTTCCCCAAACCCTACCGTGACCCTTCCTCCAACTCCTTCCCCAAATCGCATCCTGACCCTTCCCCAAACCCTACCCTGACCCTTCCTCCAACTCCTTCCCCCAATCCTTTCCTGACCCTTCCTCCAACTCCTTCCCCCAATCCTTTCCTGACCCTTCCTCCAACTCCTTCCCCCAATCCTTTCCTGACCCTTCCCCAAACTCTTCCCTGACCCTTCCTCCAGTCCTTTCCTGACCTTTCCCAAAACCCTTCCTCCAACTCCTTCCCCCAATCCTTTCCTTACCCTTCCCCAAACCCTACCGTGACCCTTCCTCCAACTCCTTCCCCAAATCGCATCCTGACCCTTCCCCAAACCCTACCCTGACCCTTCCTCCAACTCCTTCCCCCAATCCTTTCCTGACCCTTCCTCCAACTCCTTCCCCCAATCCTTTCCTGACCCTTCAACTCCTTCCCCCAATCCTTTCCTCACCCTTCCTCCAACTCCTTCCCCCAATCCTTTCCGGACCTTTCCCTAAACCCTACCCTGACCCTTCCTCCAACTCCTTCCCCCAATCCTTTCCTGACCCTTCCCCAAACTCTTCCCTGACCCTTACTCCAACTCCTTCCCCAACCTCTGTTCTTGACTTTTTTCCTCCAACTCCTTCCCCGGTCCTTATCCTGACACTTCCTTCAGCTCCATTGCCGAGCTTTGCTCTTAGCCCTTTTCTGAACCCATCCCGGCCCTGTTCCTTCACTGAACCCCGCCCCTGAATTCCACCCGCCACATACTGATTGGTTGCTCTGCATGTGAACTGCTAGGGAAAAACTAGGAACTACATTTCCCATGATACAATTTACTGACGCAGTGGGTGCCCATATGGGCGGTGCTCGGGGGCCCAAAGATTAGAGCCACCCACAGATAAAAGCACATCACCGCTTCATGCTCCTTCTAGCCGGGAGCCATTCCTCCGTCCTCCGGCTGGCGTTCAGCTTCAACCCCTTTATGGCTGAAAAGCCGACCTCTGGCTCAGAGCAGTGGCTGTGCTCAGGCTGAGAGGAGCATTCTGGGAGAATGAGGTCATCACTATGCTGCAGGCAGGAGGAGCGGTTTCCTTACTTGCCCCCCTTATCCAGTCTACCCTGAGATGACCCCATTGTGTTATAGATCGGCTCCTCGCCGCGAACGCGCGTTTTCACTGCCGCGTGATGAGCGGTTTGCGCAAATGCGATGCGTCATTGTTGAGCCGGCCAATCGGATAAATCCTCTGATCTGTTAGTTGTAGGTTCCAGATTGTACGGAAGAGTCTGATTGGTTGCGTTGATGACTCCTAATGATCAGTGTTGGCTGGGCCCTGTCCTAGAGGTGGAGCTGTGCATAGAATTCAGGACCAAGTCAGTCCAGTCCACACTGCCAGGAGACTTCTGTGTTTCTCCGATAACTTTAGGAAAAGGTGACGGTCCCAATTTTAAATTGGACCTTTTGGTTAAAGAAATGATGTCGCACTTTTATCCTTCTATAAGAGGCGACAACAAAGGGGTGCTTCCTAGGACTGCAACAACTAATCGACTAAATCGATAATGAGAATAGTTGGCAACTATTCCCAATCGATTAGTTGAAAAAATAATTGGGCAACTAATCGATTATGAAAATAATCATTAGCTGCAGCCCTAGTGCTCTGCCTCCGGGCAGCCCCAAACCCAAAGAACCTTCCATGATGCCCTGCATGACCTTCAAGTAATGGAAGAGGGGCAGCCGTTGTGGGATGACGGGCCCTGTCGGACTACAGGTCTCTGGATTGGTAGCGCCAGTTGCTGCTGTGAGGGAGTTGTACCTTGTAGCTGGATGTATGAAACCGTTTCTCCAATAGGAGTTTTTTCTTCCGGAGATGCTTTCCAAGGCTCTGCGGCTCCTGGGGCTTGTCCAGCGTCGCTGTGCGGTCCCTACGTGGGAAGTCCCATCATCCTCTCTGATGTAATCGGGATTTTATTTAGATTGGAAACTCTCTGAACTTCTTTATTTCCCTTCCTCCTTCCAGCAATTCCTGTAAATGGGGAATAGAGGAGTATACTGCCCCCTGCTGGCGGCAACCGGAACTGCAGTATGCGTGCCCCAATAGGAAGGGAACCGGCATATAGGAATCCTTGGCCCTGGATTGGCGTATTTCTGTATATGGGCCCCGAATTGGTGATCATCTGCATACGGGACCCCGGTATATAGTATTCTATGGAATTCCTGGATCTCCCTGTTCTCTGTAGAGTGGTGAGGATGGAGTCCGGGGCCCCACAGTCATGGTGGCTGATCTCCCTGTTCTCTATAGAGGGGTGAGGATACAGTCTGGGGCCCCACAGTCATGGTGGCTGATCTCCCTGTTCTCTATAAAGGGGTAAGGATACAGTCTGGGGCCCCACAGTCATGGCAGCAGGATCTCCTTGTTCTCTATAGAGGGGTGAGGATACAGTCCGGGGCCCCACAGTCATGGTGGCTGATCTCCCTGTTCTCTATAGAGGGGTGAGGATACAGTCCGGGGAGGATCCTCCCTCTCTCCATAACGCCCCCCCGGTGAGCCAGGGCCCCTAGGGGTTCCTGTGGGACAGAAGACACGATGGACGTCTGCACATCACAGGTCCTCTTATAAATACTTGTAACGTTATCCAGGAATAAAAAGGGGCCCATTACATCTCCATTTCGGGGCCACCAAGAACTTGAAGGGCCCCATTACATCGCCATCTCAGGGGCCACCCAGAGGATGAAGGGCCCCATTAAATCACCAACCTGGGGGGCACCAAGAGAATAAAGGGCCCCATTACGTCACTAAGAATATGAAGGGCCCAATTACATAACCCATCTCAAGTCCACCAGCCAAAGATCCCCCCCACAAATAGCAGTTCTGGGTGGAGTGGCCCTTTAAGGAGCCAGGGAAC